AAGATTTATGCAAGTTTTACTATTGGAGAATATCTCCTGTGATATAGAAAGGCTTTATCGATTTGGCGTGCGAGCGACGGATTGTTGCACATAAATTTTCAACTATTTTCGGTACATTTGTTTTGGCCCTTTCGCGGATATACTGACGTGCGAATATAATATCAAATCTTTCATGAGATGGCAATAATTAATGAACCAACTAATTTGTAGCAATCTTTCATTTTGCTGGCTTTATCAATCAAATAGCTTTATAATATTGGGGAGAAATTTAATTTTTCGGTTATATATTTGATTGATATAATAAAATATACTATTTATAATTTTCTCTCTCTCTCTTTAGTGAATAAAGATAATAGATTTGCCCGTATATTTAACATAGAGATGTTTTATTCGATTAAAGCGTATTTCATTTTTTCGCGATTCAGATTCATTGTTAGCACCATTTTTTTCTAAAAAAAAAAAAAATAATAAATAAACTGTAATTTATTTTTCTGGTAATAACAAAACAAATTTTGACTGCAATCCGTTAACAAGCTTAATATAGGCGAGACGGAGAGTTATATGAAGAAAAGTATACGACCGTAACAAAATCCGATTACGAAGACAAATCGACAAACGATATCAATACTTACATTATTGGCGGTAATAGAGAGACGGTAAAATCGATTAGGATAAACGGTCGCACGGCTCTCTCTAATAGGAATCGAAATCGCGAAATGTATCGAGATGCTGCGGAGGCACCATCCGAGAGCCTACGGCCCTGTGCTGTGGCATCCCCCGTGCCGGAGTGAGGGTGCGCGCGGTCCAATCATCGCAGAATCCGGAGAAAGCCCCTGGCTTCACCCGGGCAGCCGTGGGAGAGACGCCCCGCAACTCGAGGATTCGCTTGTCGCCGAATATCTTGTCGAGTCGTAAAGGACAGTCGGCGGTACAGCGTTTGGTTAGAGGGGCGTTGGCCCGTTCTCTTTCGCTGTCCTTGTGTTTTCGCCCCCCGAAAATCTTAGAGGAAAAAAAAATTCGGGTTCCGTCAGACTTCTCGTCATCCCGACTGAACTTGACTGGCACGCGAGACTCTAGTGACAAATCCACAAATCGACCTCGGGGCGACCTCGAGGATAAAGAGCCAAGCGTGAAATAATGCCAAACTGCGGGAAACCCTCAGTGTTTTACGAGAGGTTCAAGTGTCTTTCTCTTCACGAATTTCTACAGTTTGTTTAAAGATAATTATCTCTGTACGCGAGACACTCTCCGCCAAGAGCGAGCGTGTTAATGTGTGCCAAATGTGCATGGATGTGAATTTGTTTGCTCATAAAAATATGTTCTGCATCATTTTTCAATGCCGATGTATTGATGTATGATTTAACGGATTGCGCTGGTTCAATATTACGGCCCGCAAAGACATTATTTGCGCATGAATATCTCTGAGAATTATTTTAGCATGATCGTTTTTAATCTAAACTTTTTTCATTCTCTATCTGTAAGATGTATTGATTGTATACAAATATCGCATATGTACACCACGTGTACATGTATATATACATTTACAATACATACATATAGTTCTATTCATCTTCTATTCGTATGTTTCAAGCATGATTTCTACTGGCATGTTTAACAATTTTCGCACTTTTACTGATATCTTTTCTCTCGAATATGTCATGCAATTACAATCGTTTAGTATGGTGGTTTTAGCTATAACAATAAGCGATTAATAGTTCTGTTGCATCTACATATATTCGTTATGACGTATATTTGTATTTTGTACAAATGATACTAATAGAAAAAAGTTTTTATAACGATAAGAGCAGTTATCAGTTAGTGAAATTGCATTATCAGCCTCTTATATATTAATTATAAAATTGATATATCTCAGTTCCCTTTATACAAATTCCTTTTATGTAAATTACATTCTCGATTTTTTTTCGCTTTTAGAATCATTCATGCATACTCCAATGGATCTCGGCGAGCATATCTCAATATACATGAAGTAATTTATAAATCTCATGAAATTATTATACATTAACACACTGAAAAAATGTAAGTATTATTCGACACTTTTGCCTGTATTATTCAAAGAGGATATCTCAGGTATTGGCCCTCAAAATATTCATATTTTAACATTCATATAAACATAAAAACGCGACGACACGTGAGTGCTCTGAATATAAATACCAATAAAAATATTCAACATTTGTGTCACATTATTAGCAAGTATAATATCGTGTTTCATCCAAAAAAATTTGAAAAATTTCGACGATACTCCATTCGATGCAAGCGGCATCGGATAGAGGATCGTAGCGCGCAAGCGCGATGTGCTTTAAATCAAGAATTAAAATCGCAGAAAGGTAATCTCGTCAGGTAGGCGCTATTATAATTCACCACTTCCTTTAACGTACTCCGGATATGCATGCCGGGTCACGTCCTGTATCTCTCAGCGGAGGTTTCCCGGCGTCACGTACGGCGGCGCGGCCAGAGCTTGACTTCTAATCTGCCGTGGCTTTAAATGGTCATGTCCATTATTCGCGATTAAATCCCCCACTCTCTTCACAATTGATTTAAGATTCTTTTACCCCTCTTCCATCTCTCGTGCTAAATACTTTCTCTTTCGTAGAAAAAAACATATCTCTTAGTATCAGATGTCTGATTTGTTGAATCGTACTGTGTGAGACTATTTTTTTTTTATTCTGATTACTATATTAATTTCTGAAAATTACGAGGCAAGAAATCACATATTCGTAAAGCACATGAATAAAACTATACAAAAGGTTTTAATTTTAATTATGATTCTTACGTTAAAATATTAAAAGCAACGTATTAAATGGAAAATTTTGTTACAGATTACGACCAAGTGGAAACGACAAGAAGCGGTTGCAAAGAATAGGCACATTCGTGATCTACCCTGTAGATCCGGGCTTTTGTAGAATGTAAATATCAGAAGCTCGACTCTACAGGTATCTTACGGATGACATGCCACGCGACTCTAGATTGCAATGAGTGATGCTGTACTAGTTTAGATAGTGTGTAAATGATAAACATCCGAGAATCTGACTAATTTAAATATGTGTTTTACTAAAATATCAAGAGTTGTAAGTGCAAAGTGAAAATAATTATATTCTGTAAATATATAGAATATTATTTATTGCATATATATTGTATTTTATCGGACTTTATGAAACTTGATTCTTTTTACTTGCTACAAATGATATAATAATATATGTATAACTAAATAAAATACATAAAAATAAGATTAAAATTGTGATCCACTTTGCATAATGTGTCGTAGTGTTATCAATATTAAAATATCAATATATAACGATAATGTTAATTGATTCTATTAAGTATTTTACATGATATTTTAATTAGCACGTACATATAATAAGAAAAATGTAATAATACTGATAAGCATATTATTATCTGTATGAAATTTTTTAGTTAATGTATAAAAGCAGTTCCTGCTTATATTAAAAAAATAATTTATTATGTGATAAGTATAATAAATGTATCTTTTATTTACTCATTTTCTTTCCAATATTTAAGTTTTCCTACTGCGACTCTTATCATACTCTCTATTTTAATTTATATTTGAAAAACTTATGAGAGAAAGATATAAATAAAAAAACCTTTAGATACTAACAATAAAATAAAAATAGGTTTGTAAAGAAGAAAAGTTAATAAAATTTTGTTAAGTGTAATGTAATAGATTTTTCTCTTTCTGTCTAGAAATTATAGTATGTAATTATTGTTTGTTCTTCTGAAAGCGTCCCGACGTTTATCATGACAAGCGCTTATCAATCTCTGTTCTGTTCGGTACCGCCATCTGCAGCTATCCTGAAGTTACATAGAATTATGTAGCCCATATCCATTTTACTGCCGTTAAAATCACTGTACTGCCTTTATAAATTATAGATCAGAAATAAACATATATAAACTTAATTATATATTTTATTAGCTGATTTTTCTATTCTAGCATACATTATAAATATTAATATTATTATTATTGGAATATTTTTAAGCATATTTGCATATATAAATATTATTTTCAATGACGAGAGCAAATAGTCTTCAATAAAGTCAATTTTTTTTAAAAATAATCTCAGAAAATAAAACAATTCTTTTTTGATAAAATAACCGAATTTATTTTTGTATTATAACTTAATCATTTTTACTAAGTATTTTACAATAAAAAAATATAGATATATATTGAGATTGTGTCAAAAATTTGATTTGGCCTATTCTTGATTCTCAATTTATGGATATAATACAAATATGCATTAAAAACAGATTAAAAACAGAGTGATTTTACCGGCAGTATCTAAAATGGATGCAGATGGCGATACATAAACATCCCGCGAAAAACGAAGGGTTAGTATTCTTAAGCTTCTCTTCGCTATTAAATACAGTAATCTGTAAGATAAACTATATTTTAATTCTTAACAAACTAAGCTGCAACAAGTCGTACGACATAAAGCTAGAAATATGAATTAATTATATATTTTCTATGTATAGTTTAAACATAAGGAAAATATAAGAAAATGTATGAGATGTCGTTTTCTTCACTTCTTGATATCGCTTGTTTGTGGAACTAGATGTCACTAAAGATCACTAAAGTGCCTGAAGAAAATGCGGGAGCAATGTGTCGATATATAAGCCGTTATCAAGAGAAATCTAAGAAAGCTATATTTTCTGCATAGCTTTCGAGGTATTAAAATCACATTACTTTAAAATGAATGCAATCAAAATCAGTGTCCTTTTACTATCATTTTCTTTTATATTATAAAAAAATATTTTTAAAAAAATGGAAAATTGCTTGAACCTATGTAAATACATCAAGATAAATCATCAAAGCAAAGATAATATTAATGTAGGTGTAAAGAAGTTAATAATTTTTAAATCCCAACATATATTATTATAAGATAGTTATTTCTTAGTTAATCTGCATGATTGTGATATTAATGGTTCTTATTTTTTTACATAATCAACACACACACACACACACACACACACACACACAAAAAGAAATGATATTTGTAATATCTTTATTAAGTTCGATATCTCTCATTATGAGCAAAATTAACGAATTTATCTCAATGGATATTTAATACATAAATATTTAATTTGTTCCATATCTATGTCATAATCTTTCATAATCTTACATATATTAATTTTACAATTGAGCATATTGAAAAGTTAATTAAACTTATTAAGTTAATAAATTTATATAATGCATTTGTATTGTTTTCCAACACGATATGTCTTGTTTCAAAAATATTTTTTTAGTAAAATTGCATTTTTTTTTGATATTCATTTATTTCGCGAAAAGATGTAATTTTTAGGGCTCTGATCATTATACAGATCCTCACCTTTGCACGAATTCTAAAAAAAGAGCATGCAATAGCGCGTGTGTAGATAAAAAGGCTAACCAGATCTCGAGGTATGGGAAGCACGATGTTTGATGGTGTGATAGCATGGTGGTACCTGGGGCGACGTGGTATTATATTATTGATCGTTCCACGAGCTCTGTCCCCATCAGCTGTCGTAATATCCGGCGTTCTCCTGGTACTACCGGGTTGCATGCTAACATAATTGTCTAAAAAAATCATTCACGCTGAATTGCATTATAAATATATGGTACTTTGTCCAATCTATATATCAAATCCAAATTTACTGCAAAATCTCTTGAGGCAAAAAAATTACTAGGTAGCTGTTGTGGATGATAGAAATCAATGAATAGAAAATTATTATGCCTCTCAATGACGCATTAGTGGGTTAACGTGACTTCGCCATTATAAGCTGTCAACATATTCTGGGAGTAATCCGTGATAATCATTTATTTTAGATCTTGAAAGTAGAGTAAGAGGATCGATAAAGAGGAGGAGATCGAAGAGGAGAAAGAGACAAAAAAGAAGGAAAAGAGAAAGAGAAAGAGAGGAAGGAAAAAGGGAAGAGAGGTAAAAAAGGAAGCGGAAGCGATAAAGAGTGGAAGAAAGGGCGAGTAGAATACGAGTAGAAAAAAGGAAAGAGAGAGAGAAAGAGAGAGAAGGGAAAAAGGGGGGAGAAAGAGAGAGGGTATAAACCTACCCTTCTTGGACACTTCAAAGTGCCTCTTCCAGTATTCCCAGCTATGCTCTACTTCTCATCTCCTTCCGGTTGGTCTACCATTCTGAAGGTATAATATCCTGCTATCCTGAAACCTTAACGTGGCTTGAACTCTTAGTGTTGTCGTCCTTCAGACTCTCTCAGTGCTCTCTTCTCTCTCTCTCTCTCTCTCTCTCTCTCTTTCTCTCTCCTCTCTCGTCTCTCTTCCGACATCTCTCTGCGTTTCTCTTTCTCTTTGGGATCTCGGCTCAAGTCTTCAACGTGTTACTAATACCACGAGGATTAATGTTATGCGCTGCGTAGCTTACTCTAACTATTAATTTAATTAGGAGAACAATACCTTATACACTGATACTGCTATTAGATAGTGTTTTTGAATTTTTAGAATAAAGATGATTTTATTTCAATCAAAAGTAAATTCGATTAAAGCGGTGTCTAAGAGAAAATGAAAAACTGTTTCGACAAATGTGCATTTAAACTTTGTATGTAAACTTTTTATCTGTTGAACTGTTTCTCACATTTCTTATATATAAATACTTGAATTACTATTTTATTAATATTATAACAGAATATCTATAATTATTTCGTAGAAAATACAGATTTTAAGCACATTTTTATCAGAGCAATGTTTTTATGTTTTTATACACTATTTGTAATCACTGTTTAAATTGAATTAAAATAAATAAAATAATCTTTAATATATGCTGAGATTTTATCCAAAAGTACATACAATTTTTACATGAAATAATTGCAGATTTATAAAATCAAAATATTAACATCGGAATTGGTGTGAACGATGTGAAAGAGCGAGTTAAGCTGCTTTCACCTCGCGTTTTAAATGCATCTTTAGCCCAAAATCAGTATAATTAAAGATTACTACGGCTCGCGATAACATCCAACCGTAGCTCACTGGTTTGACTGACGATCTTTCAGACGGCGCCGCAGGAGCACGCTATTCGCAAGCGCCGAGTGATATTTATCTCCAAGTAATTAGGAGTTGGGCCGTGTGCGTGGAATCACGCATGCTCATCCTTCACCGTGGCAAACGCCCTAGTGTTCCATGCATAATGCCGAAAGCAATGATTATTTAGTTTCATCCTATTATCCGTATCGAGAGTTCGTATCTGCAAGAAGATCGCAATTTTTTCTTGCATTATGTAAATCACCATGTCCGACATTGTAAATGGAAATTACCGTAAGACAGTTTACGAGATATCAGCAAAAAACTTCTGTTTGTGCCCATATATTTTTTTATTTTTATTCATATATCTCTCAAGATAGCATGCGTTGCATACATAAATTTAAGTGGGATAAATCTCAAATGTAATATTTCTCTTGATAAATTATGTTATTATACTTGGTAGTTACTGTTGTCGAGAAATGGCATAGAGAGAAAGGGTGGCACATTTTCTACGAAGAAATAAAGAAAAGGAGTGCCCTCCATTAACTTTCACGTCCCGTTACGGCAATTTGCAAAGTACCTGCACGTGCAAATAAATCTTTCTGCAACGGGAGCACGAAGGCATGCCAGTGACTTATTTATGACCTGTCTACTGTCGGGCAAGAGGGTAAAGGGTTAAGAGCGAAACAATGCCTAGACCGACAGCGTTTTGATACGGTCAAAACGGAAGTCGGATCGAAAGTCGTAACGCATATTAAGTGTCTCTCACTTGCAAATTTTCCCCATATTGCAAACGCTGAAGATTCGAGACAAAGTAGGTTGTATCTAGATGTTGATATAAAAGTGTGGTTCTTTTGTTCTCACGCATGTGATGAGATAAAACGCTCATGCAGTTTTATTTGATAATACTCGTGTTAATTAACAAATCTAATTATGATACGTTTTTAGATACATTAAAGACACATTCCAGCACTCTAAGCTTGATATTACATCATTCTAAGATAATCTCTTTTAAAATCATCATTTTATCACGGATGCGTAGTCTGTTGATCGCGTATAATGACAGTCTTCGAACACGTAGGAATAATCTCGGTATCATCCGGCGTTCACGCGTGCGCGATAATGTCTCGTGCAATATTATTCACGCGGACGCTTCTTGCGGGCGACGATAATGGTAATCGTCCTGTCTCCGTGTCGTCCGCGGAGGCTGGCTGCTCTCGGTCTTCAGCGTGATCAGAAGAGCGGGAGCATCCTGGCCCTCCCCTTAGTAGCCCCCATACCATTGCCGTATACCCTTAGTAAGGTACCCCTGGCGGCGTGGTGCTAGCCGTGACACGAGAACGTGATTAATGATCGCTACGAAGAGCCATGCAGCGCACCACTCTTCTCTCCTCTCTCTCTTTCTCTCTCTCTTTCCCCTTAGTCGTTCTACCTCGCTGTTTCCCCATATCTATCTCCCTCTCTTCTTTTCTCCTCTTTTCCGCCTCTTTCTTCGCGACCGTCTCACTCTCCTGCTCTTCTCTCTTTCAGCAACCCCCGGTGATGCCGGCGGCATTGCTGCCGTTCCTGCTGCAACCGCCCGAGCACAATACCCGCGTCTGCGATTGGACTCTTGTTGGTAACTTTCTTCTTCCTTTCTTCTTTCACCGGCGGGAGAGCCGCGCGCGCTGCTGATTATTCGACGCTGGGTTACACGTACGTGTGTGCGTATATGTGTTAAAGCCTAACCCAGTTTCAGTTCTTCTAAAAGTTTTCGAGGTAATATAGGCTACGGTAAAACGACCTACCGAGAAAAATCAATTGGCTTTCCGTTAATGTTCAAAGAAAAAGAATAATAATGAAATGGTCACAAATTTTTTACGAAGAATAACATATGTAAAGAGTAACATATGTATGTCTGTCACCGATATGTAAAACATGAAATATCAAAGTAAAAAATACTCGTTTAGTTTCTGAAGAACAATTAATTTTTGTCTCATTATTATATAAATTTTGAGTTGAAGATATATATCGGTTTGATATATGTTTGATGCAAATGTTATTGCAATGAAAAAAATTTTCTCTATTATAGAGACTCGGACTGATTCTCGTCTTTATGCGTTCGCGGATTGCACGAGATGAAGATGTTCGCGAAGGAATTTTGCAGGAAAATGAGAATATCGTAAGAGTCGACAAAGAAATCAGTCAATCTCCGATCGGTCTAGGATGACTTTGAATTTGTCGATATACTTCCTGCCAATCTATCCCGAACACATCTTTATTTTATAATAGAAAGATTCACATAAACACATATATACACATGTTTTCTATCCAACTCTAACATGATTAATAATATCGTAATAAAAACGAATGCGCTTTATGTGAAAAAAAAACTTTATCAAAATGCCGGTAGAGCTTCTCTAAGCTCGATAAATATCTCTCCATCGTTAGTAATGGTAAATGGTAGTATTATTTGTTGATATCTTTTTTCATATTTGACGAACTATGCGTGACCGTTCCCCTTTTTTGATATCTGTGCATTTGCTCAATAAATCTGTTAACTAATGACTGTGATAAACGTTACAATATGTAATTATTGTGTGAATACAATAACATATTTATATTAAAATTCTTAAATAATTATATTTTATAAAAATTAATAAAAGAAGCTGTCCATTTTTCTGCAAGAGAGAGAGAGAGAGAGAGAGAGAGAGAGAGAAAACAAAATTAATTAAAAATTTCTTTTAAAAAGTGAAAAATAAGATATTGTTTTGATACAAGCAATATCTTGATTATTCAAATCATTTTCCCAGCCATTTTCGTATAATTTCAGCTTGCGATCTTCTTCGTTTACGCAGAAATCAATCGACGCGTCGATTACGCGATCATACGTGCGAATCGGGTTGCAAGACCAGCCGATAATAGTATCCAATTGCGATGTATTCCGATAGGGCATCGTCCCGATATTAACCCGAGCACACACAGTCAGACCTCGTGCTCCCCGCGGAAATCAGCGGCGCCCGATGTCAGCCCAGGCGGGGGCGCGCGGGGATGCGCGAGGCGAGCGCGGTTCGGTGAAATTTCCGGCGTATTGTCGGCGAGTTCGGTTCAGGGTTGGATGATGCCTAACCACCACCACTCACTCGCCGCCGTCGGTCCCCGCAACGCGAGTGAATAGCGAGAGGGTGAAAAGGGGAGGAAGATAGCGGAGTGATCGCGCCGGACGGACCCACGCGGACAGAATTGGAACGGGGGAGGGCGAGTCTGATGGGACGCCGAGAACGGCGACTCTCTCGTCTGTCCCCGGCGACATCGAGACGCCGGCAACGTGCTCGCGTTCCTCTCCCTCCCTCACCCCTACTCCTTTCGACTCTATTTCCGCATTTTGTTTGACGCGACCAGGATTAAAAGCCTTGCTCCCTTTCCCCCGCACGTGTATATATAATGCTTATGACACTCGCTCTTAACAATATAAGGATGCTGTTCCTTTATGAACACGATATTTTATATTTGTCTTATAAAATTTCGATTCCTTATAAAGATGTCAAAACAGTAGAGCTTCTCTAAGCTCGATAAATATCTCTCCATCGTTAGTAATGGTAAATGGTAGTATTATTTGTTGATATCTTTTTTCATATTTGACGAACTATGCGTGACCGTTCCCCTTTTTTGATATCTGTGCATTTGCTCAATAAATCTGTTAACTAATGACTGTGATAAACGTTACAATATGTAATTATTGTGTGAATACAATAACATATTTATATTAAAATTCTTAAATAATTATATTTTATAAAAATTAATAAAAGAAGCTGTCCATTTTTCTGCAAGAGAGAGAGAGAGAGAGAGAGAGAGAGAGAGAAAACAAAATTAATAAAAATTAGTGAATAGCGAGAGGGTGAAAAGGGGAGGAAGATAGCGGAGTGATCGCGCCGGACGGACCCACGCGGACAGAATTGGAACGGGGGAGGGCGAGTCTGATGGGACGCCGAGAACGGCGACTCTCTCGTCTGTCCCCGGCGACATCGAGACGCCGGCAACGTGCTCGCGTTCCTCTCCCTCCCTCACCCCTACTCCTTTCGACTCTATTTCCGCATTTTGTTTGACGCGACCAGGATTAAAAGCCTTGCTCCCTTTCCCCCGCACGTGTATATATAATGCTTATGACACTCGCTCTTAACAATATAAGGATGCTGTTCCTTTATGAACACGATATTTTATATTTGTCTTATAAAATTTCGATTCCTTATAAAGATGTCAAGACAGAAAAGATACTTTCTGTCATTTTTGGTTTAATAGATATTATTTTTTAAAGAGTGGTAGATATCGATTTTACGAAAAACGTATCCGAAATGATAAGATCAATATTAAAGATTTGAAAAGATTTCTCTCTCGAAAGTATTACGAATTTCGTAAACTTTTAGATATACATTAGTCTTTTTTGGGCTATAATATATTACAAGATGATCGAAATTTCAGCAGATTATTTGTTTCTGCTCAACCTAGTGAAATCTGTAAGCTTTTTTATATTAAATTTATTTTATTCAATTAATTACAATCATGAAAGATATCTCTCTATAGGCATTTTTTACTTGAAGATCTATCAAATACAACCAGAAAACTCTGGATGACAACTTACGCGCAAATTTATTAAATTTTTTAATTATTTAAAATAGAACTAGATAAAGTGCTGACGGTAAAACATAGAATAATTTAAGGAGCAAGAAAGGTTTAAATATATATTTCGAGGGCCGCCTTTGAAAAAAGCTTCCTTTACATGCCGTGCAAAGGTGTTATCGTTGCTGTCCGTCCATCAGAGTCCATCCCTCCTGGCAATATTAGCGCTGCCACCGGTGGTGGCTGGCTGGTTGCTTTTAGTCAGGGGGATGAAATACTTGATGATATTAAACATGAATAATGTAACGACTTGGCTACGAAGGCGCGGAATAGCGAGTACGATAAGACCTTGTAGAATGTTGCATACGTAAAATGGTATAATATGAGTATTTTGGTTTAGCACATCGACATTTTAAGTAGATGTTAATGCAATAGTAAAAAATTAAAGATTTGCAAAAATATATAATTGTCTTTAATACGAATGTGCGAAATCTGCATGCATTACATTGGCAGACAGAGGCGAAAAGAAGCGTCTCAAAAAATTTGAAGTGTGAAATAATGATTCAAAAATACATTGTTTTGAAATTATATAAACATTGACCTGTTTTTTTTGCCCAAAAATTTAAA